ACTCTTGTTCTGAGGGCTAACACCCAAGAACTTGTAATAATGCTGGTTGCACCCACTCAATTTATACATTCTGCGTTGAGTTGTAGTCCCAAACACCACAACCTTTCTTCACTGGGGAGTTGTTCTATCCCCTTGATTATCTTGGTTACAGGTTGCCCTTTTCTGAACCTTTTCCAACTCTACAATACCCTTTTTGAGATGAGGTATCCAGAACAGTGCACAGTATTCCAACCATGATCATACCCTAGATATTTTTTTTTAAAAAAATAATTTTTATCAAATATTTTTAACAGCATTAAAGCAGCAGTTTTATAAATACTGGCTCAGTGCATACCTGATTTAAGAAGCAGGGCGCCTCTGAGCATATGCTGAGCACGGCAATTCACTTCCTCATAGTCTTCTCATACATGAAATCTACTCCTGATTCCCCGCTTCACAATAATTGTTTCAGCAACCTTATTTGCTTTCTGTGGGGTGAAGGTGATGCCTTTTCCTCTTACTATTGTTCAGCAGTTGCTATTGTTCAGATGGAAGTCAGAAACCCTTGATGACCTACTGCAAATCACGCAGAGCTTTACTAATAGATCCCTATCTAACTTTTGTTCTACTCCTAATCTAAGAGGCAACCGGGAAGGGGTGAGGGCCAAGGAGCCAAGGTGCAGAGTCATTCAGGGAGCTTCGCTTTATGTAACCAATAAAGAACTGGAGCACGGTGGTTTTCTTTTCTTTTTAAAAAAATTAGTATCTGATCAATGGTAAACATGAATTGGAGAGAAACGGCTAAATCTTGAAAACTGGCCTTACACTCACCATATGTAGTAGGTAGAAACATTTGCAGCTTGCACCTTACAGTTGAAAAGCATGACACTCAATGCAACACTGCCTGGTTTACTGCTGTGCAGGAGAACAGTTGAAGGCATGGTCAGAGGCAGAAATGCTTCTGGAAAGCAGTTGCTGCAAACCATGGAAGGGAAGAGTGCTCAGGTGCTGCTTGTGTGCTTCCTGTATGTAACTCATTGTCCACTATGGGGAAAGGATGCTGGACTAGGTGACCACTAGTTGTTCCAGCTGGCTCTGCTTATGTTCTTAGCATCACTCGAGACTCCCACATTCCCTTTTTTTGAAAACATTGATTCTGCTAAAAATGGACCTTGCATCTTGGCTGAATGTTCCTAAATCTGTTAGCCAAAAAAAGCAAGAACATGGGTGTGGCAAGATATCACATTTGGTTATTTAGTTGTTTAAAGTATTTATTATCCACCCTCCGTCAATACCGGAGAAGGTTATCGAACACCAAATAAAAATAAACCAGCTGAATCATAGAATAAGCAAATACAGATACTTAAAATACACCATTGGGCAAAACGTAAGCTGGCCAGGCAGGCAAATATGTCTTAACTATCTGCAAAGGAAGGGCACTGTACTGATGAGTCATCACCACAGAGAAGTCTTTGAATCCCACGTCATCTCGTAGTAAGCTTCACACAATGTGGGAATATGAAGAAAAGCCGCCTCTGAGGATCTCGGGACATGAGCAGCCCTGGTCTAATGAGAGGTGCACCTCCAGGCATCTGAGTCCCGAGCTGTTTAGGCTTTCCAAGGTAAGCACCAGCACCTTCCCTTCAAATCAGAGCAAACAGGAAGCTAATGTAATTCTTTTAGAATCTGTGCACCCACCTGAACCAATTTAACAGTCTGGCAGCTGCATTCTGCACTAATTGAAGCTCCCAAGTCACTTTCAAGGGGAACCCCATATAGAGCCAATGGGAGGAGGAGGAAGGGAAAAAGTAGAATCACTGGCGCTGCCTCTCATTGGCTCTGGAACCACCTAGTGTTGACTTCCCTGCCTTCGATCCTACCAGACCCACTGCATACAACACATTCCAGTAAGCCAATTGGGAGGTTACCATAAATCACTGAGACCAGATGATCCATCCCTGTTCAGAAATTATGGTAGTTGGCAAATCAGCCAAAGGTGGAAAATGGCACTCTGTGCCACTCATTTCAGCTGGGACCTCTAGTGACAGTGCTGGACCCAGGAGACACCCCACCAAAACACACACACACACTATGTACCTATCCCTTCAAGGGGAGTGTAATCCCATCCAGAACAGACTGCATGTCTTATTGCCAGGCATTGTTCAGCTGTGAAGTTTGGTACCACCTGTTGTGCTGATGGCCCCCAACTTCCATGGTTTAAAAAGGGGATTTGATAAATTCATGAAGGATAAGGCTCTTAGTGACCATGATGGTTACATGCTACTTTCAGGATAGGAGGCACTTGTTGGCCCCAGCATGAAACAGGATTCTAAACTGGGTGAGCATCTGGTCTGATCTCATGAGAGTCGATGAGACTGGATGCTCTTTTAACTCTTCCACGCCTACCGTTTCCCCCCATGCAAATGCCCCCCACCCCAGTGCTGTGCCTTCCTTCAGCTGAACTCACTTGTACATTCAGATCCTGACACACATTGCTGCAAACACCTATCAACAATAAGAGAGCCAACAGAGAATAGTAATTAAGAGACCAAAAGGTCATTAAAACTATTATGCCCCCAGTTCAAATCCCATCTCTGCCATCATCTCACCAACATTCACTATTTACTCAGAAGTAACTACCTTAGAGTTCAGTGGGGCTTACTCCTAGGTAAGTGCGTATAGAATTGCAGTCTCAGCTTCCCATCTGAACCGATCTCCCTTACAGGTTGGTCACTGCAATGATTAAGTTGGTAGTCTAGATAGCATACATTCCAAAAGTATGTTGTGAGTTAGACCCAGATGCAATCTTGTGTGGCAGCACCTGTGGTCTGAAATGCCTAGCCTATTAACAGTATGCAGGAAATAACTTTCTTACTTCAGCAAGTTTAATAAACTATTCTTCAATAATAAACTATTTTCAGTTGCCTACGCATATACCGTATTTTTCGCTCTATAACACGCACCCGACCATAACACGCACATAGTTTTTAGAGGAGGAAAATCCGTAGGCATGCCACCCGTAGGCATTCCCTCCATAACACGCACAGACATTTCCCCTTACTTTCTAGGAGGAAAAAATGTGAGTGTTATGGTGCAAAAAATACGGTAATTAAGTTTTGCATACTTGTTTTTAAAATATTGCTAATTTTATCTGTGTATTGCTGATTGTTATTCTGTATTATATTTTATGTACATTGTTTAGAATTCTTCTTCAGCAGTTTATATCTTTTTTCTAGATAATCAAAAATACTGTGGTGTTTCAAAATCTGGCATGAGAGTTCTAGACACTCTAGAGCGCAAGCCTATCTTTGTCTACATGGAAGTAAGTTCCATTCAGTTCCATGATGCTTACTCCCAGGAAGAAGTGTACAGGATTGCAGCCCTAAATCCCTTTCTAGAGATCAGGCCTCCAACTATTGATTTCAAATTCTAAGCAACATGTGTATAATAATCTTATAGAAAAATATATTTCCATATGATGACATTTATATAAGCTTTGATTTCTGCAAAGTGAGAGCTGTACTACCAGCCCTCTCACACATGTTAAACACCAGCACTGATAATGGTTTTTTACACTTAAATTTATCTACATAATTACATGTCATGAGAACAATTATAAGTGCCCAGAGGGATAATTATAAGATATCATTAGACAACTTCAGAAGTCATTTTTGTACTGTCAATTTTTATAGGGTTCTGTTTTGACTTCATAGAACAGGGCTTCAGACATTGCTGTATTTTCCCATGTTTTAAGATGAAAAATTTAAATGCTTCGCCATGAGAAATCACACGATTGATTTTGCTGGGGTGAGTGAGAGAAGGGGGTGTTGAGAATCCTGTGTATATGAACACTGCAAATCCTGGTAAGAAAAAATTCAGACTATGGATGAATAAGGACCATACATTTAAATCAACGCCTCCTGCCCTCCCAAAGAATAATGGAACTGTGGCATACCCCTCAAATGAATTCTCAGTCCCCTTAACAGACTACAGTTCCTAGGATTATTTGAGGGGGGTGGTATTGCTTTAAATTTAAGGTGGGTATGCAGTCTATGCCAAGGATAGGAGTGAAAAGTTGAACCGATTTACACTAATTTACAGTTTGTTCCACTTGCAAAAACAGAGGGCATTTCCCCCCATGGGAATGGATTGCCTTGAAATGGCAGGATGGTGAGGAGGAGGAAGAGGATCCCAGCGAGGGGTGTAGCCAGGACTGGGACACACTGGGGCAAGCAGAGGATGGGGAAGGAAGTTCTCACAGGGTGGTGGCTGATGGCGGTCACTGCACAGGAACCAGAGCAACAGCACCCATCACCAGAGCCAGAGGGGTCATGTCCCCACGAACACAGAGGGCTCTGAGGCATAGGGAGCAGCAGGAGGGGCACTCTAGGAAGCTGAGGCAGGCAAGGGCCCACAGCCCAGCTCCCTAGCTGGCCAGGTAAGGGTCGCTAACTGCAGAAGGAGGGATGTGATTCCTTAGCTGGAGTAGGCTTGAAACAGGTGGAGGTCACATGCCTCGTCAAGTCTCGATGCTGCAATCACCAGGCAATGTACAAAAGAGAAGTAGAACAGAGGTGCTGTAGCTGCCCATGTTGATGGACCTTGACTTGGATGCTCCTGGACCTCTATAGACTGTATCCTGACAGCTGGACTCTGAACTGTATCCTAACTGCTGGACTTCATTCTTGGATTGACCCTGGACTGTGTTGTTGCCAGGTAGGAAAGGGTTCAGGACATGGATAGAATGGGGTTGCTTCCTTTCGTTCATAATTTGAGGGATGGATTGAAGGATAAACAGCTTTGTTGAAGGTCCCCCTTGTAAACTTCTCAAAGTTCTATGCATGCCCCTGAACACCCATTGTGGGGGAAAGGCTTTTGCCTTCATCCCTTGCTTCTGGTCATCCCAGAAGTATCTCACAGGGATCCTAGGAAGATCATTGGTCCACATAGCCCAGTAGTGTCCACACTGACTGGCAGTGGCTCTTTGGGGTTACAGGCAAGGAGACATTCCCAGCCCTGCATGGAGATGCAGGGAATTGAATTTGGGACCTTCTGCATGCAAGGCAAATACTCTACCACTGAGCTGTGACTCCACATTTCATTGACATCTATCATAGGACCCAATAGAACTTTGGTGTCTGCTCTCTCCTTAGCTCCTGTTTAGGAAACCATTAGTTTTTCACAGGCAAAGTCTTTCTGAAAATCCACGTCTGGAAGGAAAGCAGAATGCTTAGAAAGAAAAGCATAGGGGGAAAATGAGGGATTAGGAATGCCAAGAGCCAGATAATTACCTTGTCACCTACCAGATTCTTAACAAAATATGAGCCTTGGCTGACTCTGTTAATGAATGGCAACTTAACTGCCTGAGAACGTTCTTAATGTGGAATCAGAACTAATTTCATTTTAAAATTCTGACATTAATTTGCACAGACAGTTTCTTTGAGAAGTGCAAGAAAGTAGAAGAAGAAGAGGGGGAGCTTTTTGTGTGTGAAAACAAAACCCTGTTTGAGTTTCATCCTGTGTGCTGTTAGGAGTAGTGGTGCCGTCAGGGCATGTCTTCGGAGCAGGAAGGCCCTCAAATGCAGAGGGCTTGGCTTACCACATTTCAAAGCATTTAGCATCACCCCCTAAAGAGAGCTCCTTTTTATTCAGTGTGTTGCATCCCCTGGGTGCTGCAGAAAGCCAAGCCCCTCACTACCTAATGTTAAAAGCCAGAGCGAGGTGAAGGTCAGCATTTAAAAAATGCCACCAGTGTCAGTGACGTTAACTCTTTATTCAAAGAAACCAAAATAGTGCAGGCCTGGTGATCCCAATGACTCTTCTCAGTGTCTAGTGATCCTAATGACTCTTCTCAATAGGTCTTGCCCCCAATGAGGCAGTTGCAAGGACTGACCCACCTTCCCACAACTGCCTAACTCCCCTCCTCTCCAGGTTTTCCCCAAGCAATCAGAGACTGCGTCTGCATGCAACAAACCTCTCCTCTGCTCTTTTCATTTCTCTGCCTGTTCTGGGAGACCAGAGAGTAGGGGAGCTGGTTGCAGCTGGAGGAGGAAACTCCCTGGAATCTTCAGCAGCCAGGCTTCTCTTGTTCTCCTTGCCCCCCTCCTGTCCAGCCTCTGAATCAGGACTGCTCTATGCCCCAGCTTCTTCCTGCTTCCTAAACTCTGTTGCATCTTCAGCTTCTGACACTACCTCCTCCAAGTCTTCTCCCTGTGGCCACTCATCACCATCCCACCATCAATCCCCAGGCTCTGAGCCTTCTTCCCCTGGGGGTTTCCCAGCTGGTGCCTCCCACCAGTCCTCTGCATCCAGCCAGTCTGTGACATTCAAGGAGCATTAGGGTCCATTAGGGCAAATGGGGTCCTGCTCCACCAACCTCACTCTACCTTCAGGCAGTCCCTACCTACCTGCCTTCCTGCTTACATCCAGTCCAGGAGGTGGCACTGCCTGTGAACTTCCTCCTTCTCAGTCTCAGTGTTTCCCTGGGATGACTCAGCAGGGAGGAGGATATGGACAAAACCAGAATTAGTTAGCTCTGCATGTGATTGGCTCTCTGGCTCCACCTACTGTTGGTCTCCCTGCCTTCTACCCTACCAATCCCATTGGGTACCAGCCACCACTGCCAAGGAGGCCTGTCAACTGATTTATGGCACATTTTTTACCTCTGTAGCAGAGAGGAAGGACACCCTGCCCAACTTTGCTATTTGAGAGCATGTGACACAGAAGAGACATAGGGGAGACAGGAGAGACCATTCTTGGCTGAAGCAGTGGGAAAGTTGGGCAGCAGGTGGTGTGCCACTGGCTCTGCTGAGAGACCAGCTCATCCCAACTGCTGCTCATAAGAACTTTAAGAACTGGTGCCTGAGTTTGCTTGTTTTCCTCTTCTCTCCTCATCCCTTTTTCTTTTCATCTTGTGTCCTTCAGATTGAAACCAGAGGGCAGCGACAGTCTTGTTTTCTATTGACCTTAAGCTGCTCTGAGAGCCTTTGTGGCTGAAGAGCAGAGTAAAAAATGCTGTGAATAAATAATAAATAAATACCCAAGACCTTCTGCATGCAAAGGGTGTGCCCTGCCATTGAGCCTATGGACCTTTCCTCATCTACATAAACATTTGCAGATAGCTGTGATTAGAAGAACAGCACTTCCATCTTGGTCATTCATCATTCATTATCTGCATCAAAGAGTGAGTGAAAAGAAAACGCCCAGGAACCTGTGTCATTCTGCTTCTCTTAAGTGTGTGCACGGTGCTGTAATGGTTAAGAACATAAGCAGAACCCTGCTGGATCAATGGTCCATCTAGTCCAGCATCATGTTCTCACAATAGCCACCCAGATGCCTGTCAGAAATCTACAACATCCCTCTCTCTGCTGCTGAATCTGAGCAACTGGTATTCAGAGGCACCTATTGCCTGCAGTACACAGCCATCATTGGTGGAGGTGCTGTAGCACAGTGGTAGAGCATCTGCTTTGCATGCCAAAGGTCCCAGGTTCAATCCCCAGCATCTCCAGGTGGGGCTTGAGAGGCCCATGTGAAACCCTGGATGTGTGCTGCCAGTCAGTGTAGATAATACTGAGCAAGATGAGCACAAGGTCTGACTCGCTATAAAGCAGCTGCCTGTGCTCCTACAATTGTCCTCCATGAATTTGTCTAAGCCCCTTTTACAGCTATCCAAGTTGGTGGCCACCACTATGTTTTGTGGGAGAAAATTCCATAGTTTAATTATAGCAGCTTTTTCTGTATCATATTGAGGCTCCACAAACCTTTTTGCTGTTGATGTTGTTGCAACAATCCAGCATGAGATGTTAGGCAGTCCTTCCATCAACTTGAAAATAACTTTCCACATGCAGAAGAGTAGCTTTGAACCTCACCCATGAATACGACTTACATTATTGTATTTCAACCTCTTTGTTTCCTACACTCCCCCTCAGGTTACATTCCCTACCCCTCTATTTTATTTTCTCTTTCTTGCTTTTTATCCCCCCTGCTTCCCATCTTGTTTTAGATTCCCTCTCTATGTTGAGTTTCTTTCTTTTTTGAAAGCGGTTGCATTTGTTGGTATAATTCCTGTTATTAAAAACAAAAAAACCCTCCAAAATAAAAATGTAGTAGGTGAAACTTTTCCCAGCAGGGCTATGTGATGATGTATGAGCTGGCCCTTGGACTTTGTTGTGGTTGGAGGTGAGGTCTGCGGGGAGGAGGGGGGACAGTGTTAAGCGAGTCCTCCATGAGAAACCAGTAGATTTGAAGAAGGTCCCCCCATAGAGGTAGCCCCCTCGCCATATCAGTGTCCTGGGATGGAGTTTAAGAGCATGTGCATTTTAGCCAATGCCGTCCCGTCCCCCCACCCATGGGGGAAATGCAAAAATACCAATTTAAGTGTCACTTCTGAAAGCAGCCTATGTAGGACGGCGGAACTGTAAGCACTTAGGGAAATCATATATATGGCTCTATTGAGAAACCGGTATGTTGCACTGCAGGGAGCTGTCGGTGACAAACACTGAAGTTCTCAAACTACGCCGCTATAGGTGTTTCAAAAGTCAAGCTGTAAGTTTCACACTGCTGGCCTTCTAACCATGTAATAAAGAGCAAAGGAGAAAGCAGTATTCAGACCCCATGCCGAATGAAGTCTTAAGTGTTCCAGTGTACAATTCATGCTATTTTTTGAACCTCTCTCTCTCTGCTTTCTCCATATAAAGATTGGTGTGTGTGTGTCTTTTAATTTCTGCCTTGGCTGCTGTGTTCTTAAACTCCCCTCTCTTCCACTCTGCTCACTAGCCAGAGGAGGGCATGGGGGATAACTGCCGGTTGAGCTGCATGCTGTCAAAAAGGCTCCCTCTGAAAGTGGGGAAGCTGATCTTTAGGCAAGTTGCAAGGAGTGTGTCACAAGCCTCCAGTGGAAAATTTGGGGCAGAGCAGGATGGAATGGAAAGCAGAAGAATGGAGGGCTCAGTTATCAGCTCAGCGTGCAGCATTAAGTGTGCTAGCCATGAGTGGACCTCCGTCTTGGGGCAAACCATGCATCTTAATAATAAGCACCTTTTGCCAAAGATCTCAAAGCTGGTTGCACAACCCATAATGCTACTAGTTAGCCACTGGACCAGGAGTGGGGGGAAAGGCTGAAGTCCTCTGATGGACCACAGTCTAGTTTCTTGTGGGCTTTCAAGCACCTGCTGATTGCTGAGACTCTTGCAGAGGATGCTGGAGTAGGTGGACCTTGATCTGATCCATCATCTGTTGTCACAAGGCACTTTTGGGCAGCTGCCAGGGCCATGAAAGAGCCCTCTGCTGATACTTGCATTGGACCCCCTTCCTTATAAACTCCCTACCACCACCACAGAGTCTAGCATGGTACTTTGAGCAACTCAAGAAAGCCAAGTGTGCCATTTTAATTTCCCACAATCCCTTGGGGTGACTCCACATCAGCAGTATTGTGCAAAACTAAAGTAACAGCTGGATGCAGCAACCTGGCACTACTTGGGTGCTCTGTGGGTTGTTGCCAGGTAGGACCACCAAGGTCCACAGACATCAGAATGCAGCCACCAGAGGGTGTGTTTACCCACAGCTCTCTCAAGGTTGGAGTTGGCCTTACCAGCAAGGGACATCTTACATTCCTAAGCAAGAGTGCGTATTCAGGACCTTTCTATTTATTTGCCACATTTCTGTGCTTTGACTTCCCCATGCAATTTCCAAGGCGGCAAACCAGATTTTGGATCACTAAAAACAATAATGTCAGACCTAACATACAGCGGAGAGAGAACAACAGCTAAAATGAGGCAACTGAAAAATAAACACTATCATAGAGAGGCAACCAACCATTAGGCGGAGTGAGGCAGCATCTTTAGGTGGTGGGTGCTGGAGGCGTGTGCAGTGGGTAGCAGCAGCAGCAGCAGCAACTACAACCTGAGCCATTCCTCCCAAGACCCCTGTCTGTTTCTGTGTGTTATGTCCTACAAAGCCTATCCAGTATCCCATCAGCTGGTTTCCTGCCTTCATGTCTTCTGGAGGATGCTGTCCTGACATCAACATTATGCAGAGGTGCAGTGCTCCAAGGTTGTGGAGGGTCAAAGACCTGTTACTATTTCTGCAGTGGGGTCCCTGTCTCCAGAGGCCTAGAGCTGCCCAACAGCGTGGAAAGGGAGCTTCTTAAGCCACTGTGGAAAAGCCAGTTCTCTCCCTTTGTGCCAAAGAGTCAAAGGAAGCGAGTTAGCAGTTGTGGAAAGGGATGCAGGAAGAACACCAAGGAGGCGTTATTATGTATGCTCCAAAGCTAAGCATTTAGGAACATTGAAAGCACAAGGTGCTTGCTTCTGTTTTAAGAAAATTGTGTGCAAGTTCTGTTACATACAATGGAACTTCAAGGAAAACACAACTTAAGCCACTCTGAAATAACATACTGGAGCACCCTGAATCATTTGCTCATGCACAGAAAATAGTAGCTTTAGCTCAGTGTTTCCCAAACTCGGGTCTCCAGCTGTTTTTGGACTACAACTCCCATCATCCCTAGCTAGCAAGACCAGTGGTTAGGGATGATGGGAACTGTAGTCCGAAAACAGCTGCAGACCCAAGTTTAGGAAACATCATTGTAGCTAGAAGGCAACACGTGGAGATCTGCACTGATTGTTGCAATGCATTCCTAATTATTATTGTATAACTATAAGATCTTAGAAGGGAGGTGGGGTTGTGACTGTCATAAAGAGACCATGCACTTCTGAATTTGTCACTTCATGACTAGTGTTCAGCTGCCTCTGCTGTCAGCTTCCGGACCTGGAAAAGGTGGCACCATCTTGCCCTTCCCTTCAGGCAGAAAATATATATATGGTCTGGCCCTAACGTTCAGAACCATCTAGAGATGAGGGAGAAATTAGACTCGGTTCATATTTAAAGGTGGACTTGCCTAATTCGCCCTTTCTGTGACAGTATGCAAGCTGAAACACAGGCATCTTTTGAAATTCACACTTTTCTGATTTTTGCAATTTTGTTCTTTAGTCGAGCAATGCATGCAAAAATACAAATCCTAGGGTAAAGTATGCAAAAAATAAGAGCACAGATTACTGAAAATAATATACAGAAATACATTGTGCTAGGGAAAATTGCTTTGCAATTATATTGGGGGAAATTGCATACAAAAATGTGTATATTGGGAGGAAATCACACTAAAATGCTGATGAATTTTCACAAGGACTTTAAATAAATAAAATAAATAAGCAAGCAAGCAAGCAAGCAAGCAAGCCGGTGTGTAAATATGAAGAACTGTACTTAAGACTGGAAAAATGAGAAACTGAGAGAAGCCGAAATTGATAAATTCACCCATCCATAGTGGTCACCAGGGGGGCAGTTCACATTGTCCCTGGGGCTGAAGCTAGACTTTCAGCTGCAAATTGCCCTCCCCTCTTCTAGACCATTTGATGCACAAGCACCATAAGAATGGTTTATGGAGCATTAAAATGAACATTAATTTCTTTTTTTTAAACACTAAATTGGAGATAGAAGTGGGGGAACATCTCCCAGCATCCTCTGCTTTAGCAAAGGGGGGCATGGTTATTTCTGACGCTCCCTCTTTGACTTTCTGCCAAGACTTGCTGACACAACTGATTCCCGACTCTATCAAGACACTCCAACTGTGATCAGAGACAAGGAGCCGAGTGGAGGCACCTTGACACAGTGTCAGAACAGCGGAGTCACAGAGTGGGGATGCTGCATCGAGAAGGCTTTTGTCTCCTGAATGAAAAGGAGCAGGATTATTTCCCCTCCTCCTCCTCTCCCCCCACCCTCATGTTAAACAACATTTTTTTCCCTTAGGGGAAAGATTATCATAAAATACCACTACTCATTTAATGAAGACAGGGCAGAGAGAGAGAGGTCCATCATCTCACCCTGCTGGAACACCAACCACACCACTGCAATAGACAATAACTCTGCTGCTACATTACAAAGTCTCTCATATTTTTCTAATGGGAAAAGTTCTAGAATGAATTCCATGGGAAACTGTTCTCTGACCCAGTGGGTATAGTATTATTTCATTCCATTTATAGCCTGCCCTTCCAGAGGAGTCTGAGATGGCAAACACACAATCAATAAAACAATGAAAGCCTCTAAAATATATATTTAAGCCTCTTTGAAGGTTTTTGTTTTGTTATATTTTTCCAATCAAGCTCAAGGAAGGGCAATGCAGTCACTGTTCAGTGGCCAGAGCAAATCCTTTGCATTCTCCTTGCCAAAGGCCGTGACACGGAGGAAGAGCACATGCTCTATTCCAGCAAGCTCAACTGTCCTTGTTGATGGACTGTGACTTGGATACTCCTGGACCTCTAGAGAACAGTGCTTTGGATTTGACTCTGGACTATCCTGACTACTGGAATTCAGACACTTCTGCAAAGTGCTCATATGTCTGGCTATGACACTTTGGTCCTATAGACCCAGGCTCTTTGCTCTTCAGGCACATCCAATTTTAAATATCTCTCTCTATCTCTATGTATCTCCATTCTATGTATGGAAGTGAGAGCTGGA